CCCAAAGTGCTGGGATTATAGGCATGAGCCACTGCGCCTGGCCAGAACAGAAATCTTGATCACCCTGGAGGGATGGGGTGGCTGAGGTCAGGCTGGCTTTATCAGCCTGTCCTGGGGCCCACTTAGCTACTCAGAGGGCACCCTTACTGGGTGAGTTTTCTGCTGTGTTTTTCTGTGTACCTTCCAGGTAGAGAGAGGCTCCCTAGAATCAGGATGGCAGCCCCACCTGGGGCCTGAATCTGGGGATCTGATTGGTGGGGCTCTTACTGCCAAAGGTGACAGTAGCACAGTAGGCACTGGCTGCTGGTCGTGCCTTAACCCCCTCCCTGAATCTAGAGACCAAAGAGAAGGGAAAACAGAAGGTGTTATTGGCTCCACTTTCTCAAGGAACACAGACTAAGACAGGCAAAGATGCGGCCCTGGGAGGGACCATGTTGGGGCTGGTTTAGGTAGTGAGTCTCCACTCAGAGCCTCTGTGATCCCAGACCATCGGGGAGGAGCAGCTGGTGCTGAAGCGTGTGGCCAACATTCTCATCAACCTGTATGGCATGACGGCTGTGCTGTCGCGGGCCAGCCGCTCCATCCGCATCGGGCTCCGTAACCACGACCACGAGGTGAGCACTGCCCAGCCTCGCACATGGCCTGGCTGCTGGCCTCTGTCCTGCTGCACATTAATGAAGTTGATTGTTGGGGAGGGGGTGGGCGGGTGAGGAGGGCCAGGCCAGTTCAGGGGGTGTCCTTAGGCCCGCATGGCTGTGGGAAGGGCTGTGCAGGTTCGCTATGCAATGGCAGGGTCTGTGCGGCACAGGAGATGGGGCTGATCCCTTTCTTCTTCCTGCCTGAGAGAAGACTCAGCTGAGTGATGGGGGTTCCTGATTCAGTGTCCCCACCCACAACGAGTGGCAGACCCTGCACAGTGCCCCCTCCACCGTGTACCAGGCTCTGCCTCCACTTTCCAGATTAGCCTGCAGATAACCAGGATTGTGGTCTGCCTCTCAGAGGAAACAGGCTCAGAGATGTTGAGTCTCTTGCTTTTGGGAAAAGAGCTAGTTTGGGTCAGGGGTGACTCCTGAGCCAAGCCCTTTGACCCCTCCCATGCTACCCAGTTTGGCTGACAGGCTGGGTTTTTGAAGCTCGGAGGTCAGATTACAGGGATTTGGGTACATCTTTTCTGTCCTTGGTTCTGGCAGGCTCTCTTGGCCAGCACCTTCTGCACGGAAGCTTACTTCCAGAATCTCTTCAGCCTCACTCAGCTGGACAAGTGTGAGTGGCATGTCTTGGGGGAGGGAAGGAAGGGCCCACTTCTGGGCCCCTGTTGGTGGTGAGCTATTTCTGGACCCTGTCAAGCTCCCAGAGCCTGCTGGCTGCTCACAGACCTCTGCCTTGAGTGAGGGCCTGGGTAGGCCTGGGCTTAGCTGGAGCAGTGCCTGTCAGGCACCGTAGGTGCAAAGCTGCTCCATTCACCAAGGCAATTATAGATCAAGCAAGTGCAGAGCTCCTTGTGCAGGGCCCCTGGCATCTGCCCAGCATGCTGCCTGATGCCTGGCTGTTTTTTTTATTTTTGGCGATGGAGACAAGAGTCTCATTTTGTCACTCAGACTGGAGTGTAGTGGTACAATCTCTGCTCACTGCAACCCAGGTTCAAGAAGTTCTGCCTCAGCCTTGCTGGGATCACAGGCATATACCACCATGCCTGGATAATTTTTGTATATTTAGTAGAGATGAGGTTTCACCACGTTGGCCAGGCTGATCTCCAACTATTGACCTCAGGTGATCCACCCACCTTGGCCTCCCAAAATGCTGGGATTACAGGCGTGAGCCACCGTGCCTAACCCTGACTGTATTCTTAAAGCTGCCCCGGGAAGGCTTACAAAGGGAGGAGCACCTGGTTGTAAGATCTGGAGATTTGGGAGACAGCATTTTATCTGCCCTTTTACCCACTGCACTCCATCTAAAGTGACCTTGCAGTGCCTTGCAGAGGGCTCAGCCTCGGCTGAGAGAACAGAGCGCTTTGCTCATGCTCCTGCCTTGTCTGCAGTGCTCTTCCTCTTCTATAGCAACTCCACCATATCTGGCAATGCCCAGCTTAGTCCACTTCTGACCCTCACAGTCATGTTGGCCTGAGGCTCTGGGTCAATGTCCTTGCAGAGCCCAGTCCTATTGCCAAGTAATGGGGGTAGGTGCTAGCACTGTGGCACTCGCTAAGAGTGGCATATGCTTTTTGCAGGTCCTGGCCTGCGGGGGTGCCCAGGCACCCCCCTACCCAGTGCTCAATGGGTTATGTGCTATAGAGAGTGCTCAAATGGTTTCTCCTCCAGTGGGTTGGAATCACAGATGGGGCATTTACAGAACAAGCGGCAGCTCCACCCCATGAGATCTGGGGGTTAGAGATGAGCCCTTTGTAACTCAGAATGAAGCTCTACCCGCTTTCTCTCCCTGCAGCCCAGAATTACTTGCTAGGGGTTTGGAGGAGGGGGATCACCCTTAGGGCTGCCTCATGGTAGGTGGGCTTTGTGAAAAAATGCCCCCACTTCAGCCATGTTTGTCTTACCACAATGCAGAAAATCACTCACCATCTCTCCTTTTTCTTCCCAGATGCTCCAGAAAACACAGATGAGCAGATTAAGAAAATGTCCCAGCAGATCCTTGAGAAACGAACCTATATCTGTGCCCACCCTCTGGACAGGACATACTGAGGCAGGGAATAGTGTCCACTGCCACCGCCTGCCCCCAGCTGTGGCCCGATGCTGGATGACTGTCACTACTTTTTCAGAAGATGGAGAACTTGGGCTTATCACAGGTTGAGCCATTTGTTCCCAGTCTGCACCTGAAGGGTTGTCTCCTGGCATGGGGGAGCCTCTTCCAGGTTTTAACTTGCGTGCAGTGCTAACAGGACCATCACAGCCTCTGAACTGAGCCAGACAGAAAGAATGGAATTGCTGACCTCTGGAATTGGCGGGTATTCTGGTCATTGAGGAGACACCAGTGGAAACCGGGGTTTGTGCTGCTGCCTCCAGGGCGAGACGGGTGGGGACCTGGTATCAGGTGGGAATAGCCATTTCTGCTCAACCACACATTCTCTAGGAAATAGCTTGAAAGCTGCGTCTGGGTCCTTCATTTAAACTAGAAGCAGAGGCACTTAAAACGTACCAGGAACCATTTAACAAAGAAGAATAGAAAACATCACAATCTGTGTACTCTTAGCCTTTGCTGTACTCATCACACTGTTCCTCAGAACCAGCCTTCAATGGGTGACAACAGGACCCTGAGAACCACCCAGGACCCTGAGAACCACCCTTTGGTGATGGCTTCAGGTCCGCTTTGTCCTCACCCTGCAAGGAAGGCCCAGAATGCTAAGGAGCAGGCACATGGGGCAGGCTGCAGTGCCTTATGGTTACGAGCCTTTAGTTTTTCTTAGGAGATGAGGAGGCTGCCTTAGCTGATGTTGCCACCTAGGGACTTGAGTGTTTTTTTTTTTTTTTTTTTTACAAGAACTGGCCTCCACTCTCAAGAGGATGCGTGGTATCTCCAGGCTGCCCCAGCAAGCCTTTGCATTTCTCCAGCCTCCATCCTGCTGGTACTTGTGAGATATGCCAGGTCCCAGGCATGCTCACTGTGGCAAACTTCAAGCTTTGGTGTGGACCTTGGGTGGTCTGGAGCTCTAGAATACCTATAGTGGACATTCCCTTGAGCACAGAGGAGGTAGCTAGCTCTTTTTCTTCCAAGTATATTCCTAATTTGCTGTGATGCTGGAAATAGGCAAGGAGGAGACTGGGAACTTGGAGAGCTGAGCTGGCCTGAGCATTCTTGCCAGGGCTTTGGTAACTAGTTTTTAAAATGGGAAAGTTTATAAATATTGTGATCTTGTAAATAACCTCAGTGAAACCTGAAGATCTGTTTTGTTAATGATGACAAGGAAGCATTTTGCACAAAATTAAGCATCCATACCTCTGGACAGAAGGCTGCTTGGAGTTTCTTTGCACAGGGGAAGTTTGGGAAGGGACTTTCAGACCCCAACCCCCTTCTGGGCAGCCCTTTGGAAGGGCCTTCACTCTAGGCTGGCGGCGTGTAAGGCCTCTGGCAGCAGTAACTTCTCCATTCATCCATCTGGGGTTGAAAAGGCCTAGCAACCAGTTCAAGCCTCTCCCTCTCATCTGTAGTTGCTAACTGTTCTTAAACATGTTGTGGGAAGAGGAGGCCCCAGCATGTGTTTCTTAAATGATTTCACCAGTGAAATGCCCAGACTTGCTGGAAAGGCTGGCAGTGGAGCTCACTAGGAGACATTCTTGCCAAGGAAAAGCCTTGTGTTCTAGGGTAGACAGCTCTCCTAGCTGGAGCCCCTTTGAGAGCCACAGCAGTAACTGTGGGCCTGGGACACGCCCACAGAGAACAGGGTCTCTTCAGGCAACCCTAGGAGGTCCAGGGCCTATTGGGGAGGGAGGGAGGGAGCCAAATCTAGGCAAACGGAGCAAGTGATTTTTCAGCAAACTTGTTTAGCTCTTCTATGGAGCTGTGATCACCTGTCCTTAGGAGTCAGGGGAGGAGAGCAAGCCATTGTGTTCACCTAGTTTTTTGGGAGCAGTTTCTCTGACAGACCTTGTTGCTAGATAGGCCCATGTCTCTTTCTCCCTGAACAAAGGTTCTGGCTCTGTTAACAAGTTCTCTGTCAACCTCGAGATGATCCTGAGGTCAACTTTCATAAACAAGGATAAAGAGGAAGAGGACTTGGAGGGACTAGTGTAGCAAGACCTGTGTTTCCTTTCTCTGCCTTTCCCCCCCAGAGAACTGGCATATCTTTGCAGCTGGAAGGTCCCAGTGAAGCCCAGAGCCTCTACCCCCACCCTCTTGGCTGGATACCTAGAGATCAGTCATGGGTAACAGTGTTGAAGCTCAGGAAGCCTTTAGACCTGTCTTCCAACTTCCCCACTTTTTATAGCCAAGAAACCAGGCCCAGGGCATGGAGGGATTTACCTGAAGTCACACAAATGTCACACCTGGGACTAGAATCCTGGTCTGAGTTCCAGTCTAGCATTCAATCTCTTCTATCAGACCCATTCTGCATCTTGATTTTTTAACATAGGAAGTTTGGTTGATAATGTAAACAAAGTGGATACCGCTGAAGATGCAGAGTGGTACAGCTCCTGCCTGCCCACAGCATCAGGAGGCCCAGCTTGGCAAAGCTTTGCGTGTTACCTGTTAACAGACTTCGGTGCAGGAGAAGGGGGCAGCTCAAGGAAAGGTGGTGGCTTCTTGTACAGATCAAAGTCCATGTGGCGCCTGTCCCAGCTCCACCTGTCTCGATCCAACACAGGCTCCAGTACGTTAGCAAACAGGGAGTTTTCCTTCCACTCCTAAATTAGGGAAGTAAGTAAATCAGGAGGAGAAAGGTCCCTATGGACACCCCACCTGAAGCCCTGCTCCTCCCTGTGGACCTCATTCAGCTCTTTGATGTGTGGCAGCTTGAGATGCTGAAAGCTGCCTTCAGTGTCGCCTTGAAGACCTGTCACTTGGAATCCCCTGGCTGTGAGCCAGGCCTGGCGGGATTTCTTCTGGGCTTGCTTTTCCTCTTCCTTCAAGTCCAGGGGCTCCACCATGGCTGAGAGGTAATTCTGTGAGTACGTGAATCTCTTTCTTGGTTCCTAGAAATGGGGGCAGACAGATCTGGGTAGATGGGCTGATAGCAATCCTGAATTTCCAAGTAGGAATGAGAAACAGCTGGGGGCATAATCATAGGTCCTGACAACATAAGTGGTGCATTGAGAGAATCTGAACTGTGCAGCATCCCTGTAAGGGTCATATCATTGTCCCCTTTGATGGGAGAAGCAGTTTCCTAAAGTTAATGTGTGCTGGAATCCTAAACCATGGATTTCTCTTCTGTGTGGCAGCTGCCTTCATAAGCAGCAATCATAAAGTGTTCCCCAGAAGTAAGGACAGTACAGTTGTTCTTTATGTACATCTGAGCTTACACTGAGGATCTCTTGCTTACCCTCAGGTGTGGAGGATTCACATTTAGTGTGGAATAGAACACCTCTCAACATCTGAGCCTTGTCTACTTCCCCTAGCTGATTGGCTTTCATCTGTAGACCTGAGATCCCATGCTGACCTCCAGGCAGTCATGGTCAGAGGAAAGAATTCACTGAATTTGCCAACTGCCATCATCTGTCTAGATCTCTCACTCACCTTGGCCATCTCTTTATACAGCTCCTTTTTGGCAAGTTCTGTAGAATTCAGGGTCTGAATACTATAGTTGTAGATGGTCTTGTTGGCAGGGGCTGCAATCTTAATCACCTTTGCCATGGACTTTGGAGCCTTCTTGCTGACCTGGTAGGCTTCTGTGATATTTTTCTGAAGAAAGAGACACCAGTCACTACCCACACCAGATCATCCTCACCCAAAACTGCCATCTCATATGCACTGAGATGATCTCTGGGACATAGCTGTGGTGCAGGTATTGATTGATTCTTCAATACTTGCGCTATTACATTACAGAACCAGGCCAAAGGGCCAACCAGTCCAACCTCAGATATCCAAAAGACCTCAGAGGACCAACAGATTGATACCCCTAAGGGCACTGTAACTGGAACACACATCTGGCCACTCATCTCCCAACCAGCTGCTGATAAAGACAATTTATGGCTTACATGGTCAGAAGTAGGAAAGGCTTTCATGGTATGGACAGGGGATATTACAACCTAAAGCAGCAAGGACCACCATCCTTGACTGTGGTTGACTGTCAAGTGTGCCTGAGGAGTATGACCCTCATTCTCTCCAGTAGGCCTAGTTTGGAAATGAGAACTCTTCCCTGGTTGGAGAGAAATGAGATGATCCTTGGCTTCCTTTGTTAATGAAAATAGAAATGTGGAAGGAGATAAAAGGCAACACCGAAGGCTGGGAGGACGGTGCATAGGACCCAAAACAAGGGAGAACTGGGAAAAGTTGCTATTCTAAATTGATGGGCACTGCACAGTGTTTCATATGCATATTACATAGTAATCCAGCAAAATACCATCTTACCTTTACAAAATTTTTTAGCACAAGGTGGTGACCTTAGCTCAACTACAGTGGCTTGACTTTTGAATCTGAGGAACGTCTGCATAAGAATGCAAAATAATCAGGGGGAGGACAAAATCTGCAATGCACACACATGAAAGAACAGACTGTCCAGGCAATAGGGATACAAGGCAAAGACAGGTCTAGGGTCATTGGATGGGAACAAAACTCAGACTTTGGAGCACCTTTGAGAAGATTATACTAGGGATGCCACGTAGGGCAAGAATCCTGTCATGGCCCACATGGAACTTCAATATTTCATGATATGTCCAGTTTCTCTAATAGTCCTTAGTTGGGGTATTAGATCTGAGTTTTTCAGTCTGCCATTCCTAGAGGTTCCTTGCTCCTAAATCCTAGAATTGGTGAATTGCAACGTAGTGTGACAGATTCTTTCCATGCCACTCTTAATAATTTGGAGTTGAAACTTTGACCTAATACTTGTTAGAGGGAAAGCAAACAGTGTCCATAGTTCTGGATGCCTGAGATTGTCTGCCAAGGGGTGATACCTGCAGGAGAATTTGGACTCAGAGCAAAAGTAACTAGATGCTGGAGAAGTACATGCAGAGAGAGTGAGTGAGTCTCTCTCTCTCTCTCTCTCTCTCTCTCTCTCTCTGTGTTTGTGTGTGTGTGTGTGTGTGTGTGAAGGCCACAGACTGAACTGAAGCCAAATTATTGGAAAACATGGGCTAAGAATTTAACGTAAGAAATTACAATAAGAATGAAGATAGCAATAAGCCAAAGTAAGACTAAAGAAAAGTTGAGTATGAAAACAGTTAAAACAGAAAACAAGAATGAGATACTGCAGAAGTGATAGTGTTGGGAAACAAATGAACTGAAAGATCCACTTGAGATATGCTTTCAGAAAGCAGTCCTGTATAAAAAGATAAAATTAGAAACTGACTATAGAGGATGGAAATAACATCCAAATAACAGAAGTCCCAAAAGAGGGGGAAAAGAAAGAACACTTGAAGAAAATTTGAAAGAATAATGTCAGAAAAGACAAAACTTCCAAGCCTGGATATGCTATTAGTGGGATTTAAGAAAAAAAAATATAAACTCTCAAAACTTCCAGAGGAAAAGTGCAGGCCACCAGTAAAGAAAAAAGTAAGAAAAAAGTATCACTTGCAATCAGATCCACAACAGCAACAAGATAAACTTTATTTTCAACCTAAAATTTGATATCCAGGCAAACTGTCTAGTCGTGAGGGCATATGCTTAGGTTTACAGGGCCTTAGGTTTTACACAAAACCCTCCTTTAAAAACTCTTGGGGCTCACACCTGTAATCCCAGTACTTTGGGAGGCTGACGCAGGCAGATCACCTGAGGTCAGGAGTTCGAGACCAGCCTGGCCAACATATAGTGAAACCCTGCCTCTACTAAAAAATACAAAAATTAACGGCATGGTGGTGCACACCTGTAGTCCCAGCTACTTGGAAAGCTGAGGCAAAAGGATCCCTTGAACCCAGGAGGTGGAGGTTACAATGAGCAGAGATCATGCCACTCTACTCCAGTCTGGGTAACAGAGCGAGACTCCATCTCCCCCAAACTGCCCCCCAGCATTGTCCCCTGCCAAAAAAAAAAAAAAAAAAAAACGGGAGAAAATTCAAAATGGAGGAGGAACATTGAGGTGGATTCAAGGTTAGCAAGTAATGTCCAATATCCTAGTAAAGTTGTCTTAAAAGGACTAGGAAAAAGTAAAGTTTCAAAGCATTGAAATTCTAGAGACTATTAAAGGGATGGTGGAGTGTGGGTAGGAGATAAGCTAAGAAGAATATAAATGTACTATTTGTCTTATAAAGGAGATATAAATTATGAGTTTAACAATTCAGTAGGAATGCCTAACAATATGGTCTTCAGGATAACCACCATAGAAACAAAGAATGTATACTTAAGTCCACAGGAAAAAAAACTTGATCTATCCAAAGAACACAGGAAGGGAGGGTTTAAAAGTAGATTAGGTGACAAAAATGCCTACTCTAAACAGTAATTACAGTAAATGTTTTAAGCTTGCCAATTAATCTCAGAATTTTTTTTTTTTTTTTTAAAAACAGTTTCACTCTTATTGCCCAGGCTGGAGTACAATGGCACAATCTGGCTCACAACCTCCACCTCCTGGGTTGAAGCAATTCTGCCTTAGCCTCCCCAGGTAATTGGGATTACAGGTGTGTACCACTATGCCTGGCTAATTTTGTATTTTAAGTAGAGATGGGGTTTCACCTTGTTCAGGCTGGTCTTGAACACCTGACCTCAAGTGATCCACCCACCTTGGCCTCTCAAAGCGCTGAGATTACAGGCATGAGCCACTGCACCCAGCTTGGATTTTTTTTTTTTTTTTAAGCTAACAATATACTACGTACAAAACTTTCAACACAAAGAGATAGGTTTGAAAACTAAAGGGAGACAGCATATACACTAGGCAAAAGTGTACCAGAAAATAAAGGCAAAAAAAAAGCTGTGTGGCATTTTTAATATCTGCTGAAATAATTTGAGTTCAAAATCTATCAAAAGGGACAAAAGGATATTGTATATTGAGGACAACAAAAAGGTATAACTTGTAAATACATATGCACCTAGCAATATAGTCTCAAAATATATTAAGAAACAACTGACAGGATTACAAGGACAAATAGACATCTATCTCACATCACTGGAGAGCAATCAAGGCAGCCAGGATTTGAGAGGCCAAGAATCTGGAGAAAAGGGAAATAATGGTGGTTCCATTTTCTTTTTGTCGTTGTGTCTCAAGGGATTTACTACTAAGTTGCACATGGATAAGGAGAAATAAGAACATAAGCAGAAAAAGCAGCTAAGAAGTTCAGAGGCTAAGGAGGTATTTTAAGGAAAATGTTGTATTGCTAGGGAAACAAAATTGGATTTCAAAATAGGAAATTGTGTCAAGGAGGAAGGGCCCTAGTACTTCTAGGCTTCCAGTTTAGAATTCAGAAATTCTGTGCTTTAGGAGTAAGGGTAAGCCTGACTGATTAAGGAGATTTATCTGTCCTCTGTTTCCTGCTATATCTCTCTGGAGTAAGACATCAAGAGAGTCTCTCCAGTTTTCAATACAGTCTTTTCCATTTAACAAAAAATAACAGACATGCCAGGAAACAGGATGAAAAGATGGAAACCAAGAGAAATGAGATAGAAACAGATCCCAGGTAATTGAGATATTGGAATTATTAGACAAGAACATTAAAATAGTCTGGACATGGTGGCTCACACCTATAATTCTAGCACTTGCGAGGCTGAGGTTGGTGAATCACTTGAGGTCAGGAGTTTGAGACCAGCCTGACCAACATGGCAAAACCCCATTTCTAATAAATATACAAAAATTAGCCAGGTGTGGCAGCTAGTTCCTGTAATCCCAGCTACTCAGGAGGCTGAGGCAGGGAGAATTGCTTGTACTCAGGAGGCAGAGGTTACAGTGAGCCAAGACGGTGAGTGCTACTACACTCCAGCCTGGGTGGCCGAGTGGGACTCAGTCTCAAAACATTAAAATAATTATGATCAATGAAAATGAGAATTTCACCAGATACCTGGAACCTATAGAAAAAGTAAAAGAAAATCGTAGAATTGAAGAAATCATCATTAAAGTTACAGTCCAGTGGATGGGTTTAATTGTAGCCTGGACACAGCAGGGGATAAGATTAATGATTTAGAACAGCAGTCTCCAACCTTTTTGGCACCAGGGACTGGTTTCGTGGAAGACAGTTTTTCCACGGCCAGTGGGAGAGGGTTGTATGGGCATGGTTTCGAGATGAAACTGTTCCACCTCAGATCATCAGGCACTGTTAGAGTCTCACAAGGAACATGCAATCTAGAACCCTTGCGTGTGCAACTCACAATAGCGTTCACACTCCTATGGGAATCTACTGCCACTGCTGATCTGATAGGAGGCAGAGCTCAGCTGGTAATGCTCCTTCGCCCGCCACTCACCTCTTGCTGTGCCACCCAGGCCTCAGACCTGCTACTGCTCCACAGCCTGGGGGTTGGGGGCCCCTGCATCAGAAGATAGATTGGTTGAAAATAACTGGATTAAAGGACAAAAAGGAGAAAAAAAAAAAAGACTGGAAAATAGAAAGTATGAGACGTATATCAGATGCAGATCATGGTGAAAATATCTAACGTTGGATTCCCAGGAGGAGAGGGAGAAAAGAGGAATATAAGTAATACCTGAAGAGAAATATTGTCCCAGAACTTTTAAAATTAAAAAAAAAACCACAGATTCAAGAAATTCTAGAAACCCATGGCAGGTTAAATAGAAAAACATGCCTAGGAACATCACAGTATAACTGCCG